AGCGGTGATTCTCCGAAGCTCTACATCCCCAGATAACTGCTGTCAAATGCAATGGGGTATCAAATAAGATAGCCCCTGCCCTCCAGGAGGTTAAAATCGAATTGAAAAAATCTCCAAACCAACAACCTCCGTAAGGGAGTGCTGCAAGTTCACAGGAAACAGAGGGCACTTCTGGCTCCTCTGTGCAAGAGAGAGGCACGGTCTTAGGGAAGGATCAGGGCTTCATGGAGGAGGCTTCATTGGAAGGGACCTTTGATGGATGGGTTTTGGTAGGTGGAGGTGAGCCCCAAAGTGTAGCATTTGGAGGAAACAAATGAGCAAAGACAAAGGGGAGTCTGGGAAGTGGAGGAAAATCCAGTGCGGCCTCAGCAGAGGATGTGCACGTGGGAGAGGACTGCAGATGTGAGGAGGGAGTTTACAAAGCAGGTGGGGCCACCTGGGGAAGGCCCTGCAGAACCCACGCTGAGAGTCAGGGTTTTCTTTCCTGTGTGGTAAGGAGCCACTGGTGAGTTTTGCTTTTTAGCACTTGATGGTTTTTGAGGCACAAACATTATACAGATGGATCCTGACAGCAGCCGTGAGAGGGAAGCAGGGCTAACATTCACCCCATTGGACGTATGAGGAACTGAAACCCAAGAAGAAGCCCTTGCCCAAACTCAAACAGCAAACTGAAACGAGGGCCCCTTGAGAGGAACTCTGGTCTCCTCTGTTTTTGTCACTGCACTCCAATGTGAAGACCCTTTGGGTTGTAACTTACAGAGAGTCAACTCAAACTTGTTTTTACCAAAAAAGAGGTTAGTTGGTTTGTGAAACTGGGAAATACAAGAGATGGAAAGCTTCAGGCACAGCTGGATCCAGAAACCCCAAGGCTATGAGAGCTCTTTCTCTTGTTCTCACTAGCTCTCCCATGGGATCTCCCCACACAGTGATACAGGGATAGCAACAAATATGTGTTGACTCCTGTCCCAGACACTGTTGTAAGCGCTTTACCTGTATTAACTCAGTCCTTCCCATAACTGTTATTGTTCCCATTTCGTAGATGAGACAACAGTAAATGTAAAGGATTAAGCAACTTGCCCAAGGTCACCCAGCCAGTAAGTGGTGGAGCTAAGATTCAAACCCACTCTGATACATACCTTTCATAGATGGTCACCAGCAGCCTGAGGTTTATCATTCTGAGAACAAACAAATGAGCACACCCTCCACAGTCCATCTAGCACAACCATAGCCATCCCCCAGAGGGCTCTGGCCAGCCCTGCCTGGGTCTTTGCCCATCCATGAACCTGTCACCAGGGGGTGGGGGTGGGCCGCTCCAATTGCCCTGGTTGGGTCTCTTGCCCAGCTCTGTGGTACAGAGGGTGGGGCCTTGCGGTTGACAGCCCCAGGGATTAGGAAGGAGCAGTCTGGAAAGAAAAAGGTACCAAGTAGGGAGAAAAAAAAACAAAAAAAAGTACCAGGAATCTACTAGAATCTCTTCTCTGGAAAAAAAAAAAAAAAAGAATGTCTTCTCTGAGATCAGGGAAGCTGCCAAGAACCGCCCCACCCTCTGCTCCAGCCCCCTGGCAGTGCAGGAACCTAGCCGGGTGAGCAAATTGAGAGCTGCAAGGATTCACTAGGTGCTGACTGCTGCTTTGGGCCTGCCCCCATGTGGAGTGAAGGGTGCACAGCATGGTCAGGCACAGCCTCTGCCCTCAAAGTGCTCTTAGCTGGGAGTGGGAAAACAGCACTTAATACAATGCGGTGTAATGAGCGCTGTGATCACAGGATGAACAGAGGCGAGAGTCCCTATCTTGGGAAGCATTAGGAAAGGCTCCCAGAAAAGCGATGCTTGAACTCAGTCTAGAAGACTGAGCGGAAGCGCAGCCGGTGGGCTGGGGGAGGATGGGCTCTCCTGGCAGGGAGTGCAGCCAGGCAAGGGGGTGGTGACGGGAGAAGGCCCTGCACCGTCAGAACTGCAGGTGGGCCGGCATGGCTGGGTCGTGGGTGGGGCAGGGGAGAAATGAGATGAGGTTGGAGAAGTCGGCCGGGGCCTGGTCATGGAGGACTCCCATCCACGGTCAGAGGGGGCCTGATGAAGAGGAAAAAGAGGAACGATTTGATCAGATTTGTGCAGTGCAGAGAATGCTCTGGAAGGGCAGAGGGTGGAGGCAGGAGGCCAGTCAGAAAGTGGCTGAGCACTTCAGGCTTCAGATGGTGAGAGTCTGAACAAACAGCGCTGCAGGACTGGAGAAACGGGCAGATTCAGGAGCTAACGTAAAAAGACTTGGTAATTAGATTGGTGAGAAGAATAAAAGGCGTGTGCCAGGTGTGTGGGTAATTGCACATGTGGTGGTGGTGGCGGCAGCCAGAACAGGGGTTTCTCCCTGGAGGAAAGGTGATTCTTTTAAACCAGGTGCCAGTTGGAGAGGATGAGGATTTCATCATTGTCAGGACGATAATTAACTCAGTTTATTCTGTAAACATTTTGTGAGCATCTGCAGTGTGCCAGGCTCTAGCACAGAGCGGTGAACAAACATGGTCCTTCTAGTGAAGACTGCAGTTTAGCAGAGTGGCAATCATTAACCAGATAAGCCTTCAGCCAGCCAGATCGTGGTCATTTTTCATGTACTGAGCTGCTCAGCTGTTGCTCTGCCTGTAGCCAGCTTTTTCCCACATGCATCCAGTCCCAGAGGACGTGTGAACTGACTTTCTCATTGGAAACACCAAGGCAGCGCAGGGCAGAGCGAGCACTGGCCTCAGAATCAGATGCAGCAGGCCCTCCTTCCACCTCCCCAGTCGGACCTCATTTAAGTCACAACTACTTTGAGCCTTGGTTTCCTTATCTTTAAAATGGAGCTAATAGTCGTTGCCTTATATCTCTCAGCTGAGGGATTACACGCCATGATCTTTGCAAACGCAAAATTTCCTCATATTTAGATCAGAGGTTGGCACATTTTTTTTTCTTAAAGGGCCAATTAGTAAATATATTAGGCTTTGCAGGCCATCCCACCTCTACTCAACTCAGCACTTGTAAATAGCCATAAACAGGACATAATGGTGGGCTGGGTCCCAATGAAACTTTATTTATGAAAACAGGTGGTGAGCCAGTGTTGGCCCATGGGCCATAGTTTAGTGACTCGCATGTTAGGTGACAGAGATGTTGGAAGGTCAGGTGCACATGAGTGAGGAATGGGGGTCCTCAGACCTCGGGCATGGAGATTAGGATCAGAAAAGGAAACCAAGTGGTGTTACACACCTACTTTGTACTAGGTACAGTGACAGCCTGTACAAATGTTATGACTTACTCTTCACACTGTGACAGGAGTGATGCAGAGAATAACACTTCGTAGGTCAGAAAAACTGCAACTCAAAAAGGGTGATAACCAAAGTCACACAACTAGTGAGTGGCAGAGCCACGGTTTTAAGCTTAGGTTCTCCAACTCCAAAGTCTAAGGGTTTCTACTTTAAAACCCTGAAAGCCCTGGAGGCTGATATGGGCGCTGCCACATCCCACCCCAGTTCTCTTGAGAAGAGGACTAGAGACTGCCAAGCCGCAGAAATCCGTGTCAAGGGCTGGATTTCCATTGTCCTGCTGTTAAGGAGAATTAAAAAACACCTTTGATTTCATGCATAGAGAGCTGTACACTAAGCTTCTGGCACAGAGTAGAGCACAATAAATGTTGACTAAGATGAATGGGGGTGTTGTTTATAAAGACGACAATGAAGATTTGCAAACCAGGCCACGTGAAGCCTGGGGGAAGACAAGGCACCTCCTGGACTCCAAAGGAATCCTTCTGTTTTTCAGCCTCTTATTTTCTCAGCCAGAGATCTACTCTGGGATTGGCACAGCCTTTAATAAAGAGTGTTCCTGCCTCTGCCTCCTGTCCCCAGTCCCTGGTCCCTAAAGCGGACGTTGTATCTCCTGCGGCACAATTAGCAGTCTAGGCTGCCCCCACTCCCCTGTTAGGTCCCAGCCACTGGGTAGTGAGTGCACAGAAGGGGAGGCCGAGGGTCCCCGGGACATCACAGCCATGATACACCAACCAACAAGGCTTTTAAGTCGTTTCCCTAAGGTGACCCAGCAAGTACGCGGCGAGCCAGGGCTTGCAGTCGGCATCTGTCTGACTCCAAGAGCTGTCCTCTTCACCTCTGCTTTATACAGGATCCTGTCTGCATAGGTGGGGACCTGTCACCCCTCACCCAATACTCATCAAGTCCCTTGATTCTGTCTTCAAAACATAACTCAAACGTGTCTGCTTTTCTTCATCCCCGCTGCTAAAGTCTGGGTCTAGGCAATCGTCATCTTGCATCTTGACCCCTCCAGAAGCCCCCTGACTGGCCCCCCATTTCCACTCTGCCCCACCCATCCCACAGTTTTCCATACAGCAACAAAGCGATCCTAAAGCATAAACCCACTTACCTCAGACTTCTCTTAAAGCTCATTAGAAGCATCCTAGTCACTAAAATAAAATCCATTCTCTGTGCCATGACCCTGAGCCCTGTGTTTATTAATTAAAATCAGTCAGAATAGAATAGAAAATAACAGAGTGCATCACAGGGTAAATATTGTTCCATGAAACTTTGGCTCCTGTTAAATATATGTGTATGTACATATTTATACGTTCACATACGTACACGTACTGAGTCGGGACGTAACAGTTACCATGGGTCAAGATCATGGAAGCTGCATGATGTCCATGCAGCCTGGGCCACATCCCCCACAGCGCCGGCCCCTCTACCCATCTTTGTCTCCCATCCAGTGTGTATCCGTTCCCATATGTATCCTGCCTCAGAGTCTCTGCGCATGCTTCTTCCTCTGCTTCAATGTTCTTTGAGGACTCTGAGTGGCTGCATCTCTGTCCTTTAACTCAGCCTGTCACCTCCTCAGGGAAGCTGTCCTTGACTCCATTTAAAGTAATTCTCTTTACTGTTACTCTCTATAATGATCATACTTGCTTGTTTGTGTCTCATCTACTCTGCTCCACCAGAGGGAGAGCCCCGTGAAAGTAAGGCACGCATTTGCGTTCCCGGGCCTGGCTCACAGCAGGTGCCAGGGAAGTATCTGCAGACTGACAGGGCAGCCTCGGGGAGCCAGGCGACTCTGGGCAAGTCACGTCATCAGTTTCCTGCCCTGCCAAGCAAGGAGTTTAAACTCGAAGTTTTACTGTTTTGTTTGGAACTGGAATGTGGGCTGAAGGTTAAAGAAGCAGTGTTTTCCAATTTACAGGACTTTTTCATTTCTCATGTCTCATTTGGTCTGTGTAGCTGCTCCTGGGGGAGCCAGTCAGCCCCTTCTTGCCAGTGCCATCTATACATTAGAGTAACTAAGACTCGATGACTTAGGAATTTGCTCAAACTAGCAGACAGGCAAAACCGGGTCCCACACCTGGACCTTCAATTTCTACTTTCACACCTTTTCCCATCATAGCCCCTGAGTCCCCTGCCATAGGTGAGAATGGGGGCCGAGCGGGAAATGGGGCTCTCTCTAAGCTTCTCTTCTCCCGGCGATGATGCTGCATGTAACCCTCAGGGTCCGGGACTCTGAGATCCGTAGCCCCGGCTGTGTGACACCAGTGAAATCTAGTGGTAGCTAGCACGGGAATAGCACAACCTCCCTTACACAATTATGATGAGGACTCAAAAGACATTCAAAAAGACTTCAGGATTTTCTTGTCTTCTCTAGGCATTACTTGAAGTCTTTTGTTTTAGATGCCCATCTGCCCAGGAGGAGGAAGAGGTTGGGCATGGAGGGGGTCCTTCCTTACTCCCCTGGCCTCCCCCATGCAGGAACCTGGCGGACCGAGGCTGTGTTCAGCGAGGAAGCGCTCGTCGGGGTTCCAAAGGACATCCCTCTTCCGAGTGCCGCCACCCTGGGCGTCAATCCCTGCACAGCCTACAGGATGCTGGTGGACTTTGAGCAGCTGCAGCCAGGTAGGAACCGCAGTGGGCGAGCAGGCCCGGCTCTCCCAACCCCGAGGCCTGGGCACTTACATGTGAGGGCCTGCAAGGAAGACGGCCCCAACCTGGGTGAGTGTGTTGTTGTGGCTTCACTTGGAAAGATGGGAGCCTGGGTCGTGGAAAACATGCTGAAACCCCATGAGGAGTACACCCTGGAAAACCGCTGAAGGGTCACATTCCCTTGAGCTTGGGATGGAATCCTGTCATTCAGCAAAAACGTACGGAGCTGTGCTGAGCTCTGGGGCTACAGAGCCAGACAAGATAGACACAGTCCCTGTGTTTTCGGTAAAATGCTGAACTTAGCGTTGGTAATTCCACTCAGCATTGCCGGAGCACTTTCCAGCCCACATGCGTGCCTTTCCGTGCGCTGCCCTAGTGCACCGGGTCGGCAGAATGGAGCAGTGAGGTCAGAGGCACGGGTTAAGAGCTCAAGCCGTGGGCAAACAGCCTGGGTCTGAACCCCAGTTTCGCCTCACTGACTGGGAACTGACCTCTCAAATCATCAGTCTTTTCATCTGTAAATTGGAGAATAAAGTGTTCCAGGGGTAACAGGGACGGGCAGTGTCCCCCGGCGTGGGCCTGGGGTCCACTGTAGTAGATGTGCACTGCTGTGACTCTTTCTTTTGTAAATGAGGACACTGCGGTCCAGAGCAGTGGATTATTCATGTGAGGTCACTCAGCAAGGAAATGGCAGAGCCAGGTGTTTTATTTGGAATTCTCCTGAAAGCGGAACCTAATTCAAGGACTGGGGGCAGCCAGTTCACTGGGGAGGTAACCCGAGGAAGCAGGAGTCAGGGGGCAGGGATAGGGAAGGAGAAAAAGCCAGTGAAGGCTGGTTCCTGCCATTGGCGACCAGGGCCCAGTCTTGCTGGGGATGCTCCACAGACCCTCCCAGAACCCTCCCCAGAATTAACCTCCAGCTGGCAGGAGTTTGGGCCAAGTCACCCACCAGCTCCCATCCCCCGAGGCGGAGGGTTACCCAGCACACCATGCACATCCGTGAGCTGGCATGGGCGGCAGAGATCACCCAGACCCAGAGACTTCTGCATGTGATCAGCTTAGGGGGCGGCTCTGCTCAAGGCTGGCAAAAAAACAGCCCCAGCTCCCCACACAGAGTGATGCGGGTTCTCACAGCTGTGGCGGGGCGGTCCCAGGGGTCTTTGGTGGAGAAAGCCAGCAGCTGGGCTCAGGGACCTTTGCCCAAGTCCTAGTGCAGCAGATGCTTTGGTCACCTGTGTCCCATGCCCTCATGCCCCCTCTGGTTTGGGCTGCAGCTGTGGCCATCACATCAGGCCATTCTGACACCACCCACCTTAAGTACCCACAGCGCATCTCTCCACTTTCCTGCTCCAGAGCTGGTGTGACGTGTGATTTTCACATGTGATCTTGAAAGAATTACACTTTACATTGTAACCCTGTACACAGATGTATTTGAATATATATGTAATGGAAGCCAAAATTTCATGGAACAGTGTTTACCCTCACTATGTGTAATGCACTCCACTTTTTTTTATTCTATTTTCCTTAATTTTAATTAAAAAAAAAAAGCTTGCAGCCCACTAGGTTGGTTTCATAACCCACTGATGAGTGACAATCTGTAGGTTGACCCCAGCTAAGGAGAATGGTCTTCTTCTTCCAGAAAGTCCTCTGTTTCTAGCACAAGATCCCTGCTGCCTCTCAAAACTCAGGTAGCATTTCAGGAGAAAAGAGCGCCTTCCTGGACACGAGGGTCCTTGACTCTAATCAGGAGCATCTCGATTGGTGTTCCTAGGACCCCTGTTTTATGCGGGAGAAACTGAGGTTCAAAGAAGTCATGACTTGCCCCACCTTATTCAGTTCCAGTGGTGACCTGGGACTCACACTCGGTTACATCTTATCCCAGAGCCCGTGCTCCTCCCAGCACACCCTGCTGCCTCCCCAGCTGGCTAATTCCAAAGCTGAGCCTCAGCTTTGACCACTGTCTGCAGGACCCTGTTTCAGTGCCTGCCAGTTTCTCCAGCACAGCTCTAATCCCATGTGGAGGCAGCACACCTTCCCCTCAAGAAGCTGCAAGCTGTTGATAGAAACAGACTTAGACACAACCAAGTGTAAGTTGAGGCTGACCTTGAGCACGAATGGAGAAGGCCTCAGAGTGCTGTGGGAGTGCATGGGGGAGGATCTGGGAAGGCTTCATGAAGGAAGCTGTACTTGGGCTATGCTTCATAGGATACATAGGACTTCAAAAGGAAGGGAGAGAGAAAGGAAAACATTACAAACCAAAGAAACAACCTAAGCAGAGACGTGAGGACATGAAAATTAGGAGGATGAGGAAGGATACAAAAATCACAGAGCAGGGCCTAAGTTGCGTCCAGTGAACTCTGAGTTGCCGAATCCTGGCACATTGTGGGTGTTGTAGAGGTTCAGGGGGCACTGGGAGGAAAGCGAGCAACACTCCAAGGACTGAGAAGGCTCAGCAGCCAGGTCTTGGACCCCTTTAGAGCCCTAGGACTCCACCTCTTGCTCTATAATAGGATCCCAGGCTGGAAGCCCTTGACCAATCCCAGGTCTCGACCTGAGTCTCTTTCTGGCTCCACAGGGGACTGTGTCATCCAGAATGCGTCCAACAGTGGAGTGGGGCAAGCAGTCATCCAGATCGCCGCAGCCCTGGGTCTGAGGACCATCAACGTGGTCCGAGACAGGTGCGTGGAAGGCCTAATCTCAAACCGCCACTTGGGCCTTTCCGCCTCACACCCTGCGGGTGTCCGCGTGTCCACCAGGTGGCGCCCTCGCATAAGCAATCGTCCTCGGCAGGCCACCAGCTAACTGCTGCTGACTCAGCCGCCAGCGCTGAAGTCCAGGCGGCTTTTGGATATAGGATGAAACTGAAATGTAAAGGGAGGGCAGGAGCGAAGCGGAGAAGGCCCCTAAGAACTTAAGAGTTTTTGAGAATCCTGACCTGTGATAACCCCATGTTTTCAAAACCACAGTTCACATTTGGGAAGGTTTTAAGCTGTGTTATTCTTTCTGTGAACTAACTCAGGGCCTTATTCTCCCTTGCATTTGTGTGATCCTTTGAAGTTCACTAAATACAGATGTAAAGGAGATGGGGCAGGCTTGTCATTTCTATTTTACAGAAGAGGAAACTGAAGTTTCAGGGGGAGGAAGCCACTTGCTCAGGAAGACACAGCAAATCAGTGACAGACTTAGTTTCCTGACTTGTATGATAATCCAGTTTCCTCAAGCCTCACTGTCCACAAATGTGTCTGTGTCTCTCAGGGAAGTCCAGGCCTAGTAGAACTGATACCCGCTACAGTCCCCCATCCCCTCAGTTGTGCCAACAAAAAATATTCTGTTTGCCTCAGTAAAGAGGCCCAGAGCCACTCCTGGGCTGGAGTGTGTTTGCGCAACTCTGAAGAGCCCCTTGAAAAGAGTGGGGGGAAAGGAAGCAGAGTTTGTCATTTCAGCAGAAGAAATCAGGAAGTGAAATGACTTCTCGCTGGGCACAGATGGTTTCTAGCATCCTCGAGCTGGCCGGAGCAGTAGAACCCACCCAGCCTTGCTCTCTCACTCAGTGAGAACACTGAGGCCACAGGATGGAGGGGGATAGCGTGATGACATTGGGTGGCCAGCCCCAGCTTCCCACAAAGAGAAACTCGGGTTCTCATAGCTGTGGCGGAGGGGGTCCTAGGAGCCTTCGGTGGAGAAAGAGAACAGATATGACCAAGGACCTTGGATTGTGTTTGGTTTCCAGACCTGACATCCAGAAGCTGACCGAGAGGCTGAGGAACCTGGGGGCTGATCATGTTATCACAGAAGAGGAATTAAGAAAGCATGAGATGAAAAATTTCCTTAAGGTACCAGAGATGAGGAACACTGAACCTCCATTCCAGGCCCATCTCCCTGGGGAAAGAAATGTGCTTGAATTAGAAAAGCTGGGCACTGGCCCCGTTGCTCTTCTCCAGAATCCTTCCTTCACCTCTTTATGGAAGGACAAAGCCCACTCTCGCAGCCGGGGGACAGCATACATTAAGTGCCCAAGCACTGTGTCTGTCTCTCCTAGACAAAGTTTAGGAAGCCCTGAATGATTTGTAGTTTTGAATGTTTGTGCTGGCCTGTATCAGCCCACACAGCCAATGTGAGTCTGAGAGCTGGGAGAGGAGCCAAGGAAACTGAGGCATAGGAGGGAAAGAAAAGAATTCACATTTCCGAAGCACCTGCCATATATTTTATCCAGTAATCCCCACAAAAGCTCTACAGAGTAGGTGCTCTCTGTCTCAGAGGTGAGAAAACGAAGACTCGGGGGGAAAACAAGGACTTCACCAGACCACATAGTCATAAGTGGTGGAGTCAGGACTGACCCCTGGGCTCCTTGAACTCAAAACCCCTTAACCTTCCCAGCACACCTAGTAAGCGACCAAACCGCATCTCAGCCTCTTGTCACTGAACCCTGGAGGGACCAGATACACACCCATTGGAGAACACACACTTCTGGAGAACATTTCTGAAGCAGTAGGTATAATATAATATAATATAATCTGAGTTGTCAGTACTGAGAAGAGCAGGAAATGAAGTCCATCAAATCAGAATGTAGAGGGGAGGGCATAGCTCAGTGGTAGACCGCGTGCTTAGCATGCACGAGGTCCTGGATTCGATCCCCAGCACCTCCACTAAAAGAAAATGTTTTTTTAAATAAATAAACCTAATTACCTCCCTCCGCAATTTGAAAACAAAACAAAACAAAAAACAGGATGTAGATGCCCTTTGTCTGTTCTTTCCCAAAGGAGGTGAGCTTTGAACAAAATCCTAAAATGGGTAACAGGATGAAGCTGGTAAAGAAGAGGCCCTACCATGGGCAGAGTGCAAAGGCATAAACGTCCCCTTTTTATCGCTCCCTCCTCTGACACAGCGCCTGGGCCATGGAAGTGCTGTTTGTAGCAGGCTTCAGACCCCGGGCTCAGAGGGGTTGCTCGCTCACTACAGGTCCCTTATTTTCCAGGACGTGCCCCAGCCACGGCTTGCTCTCAACTGCGTCGGCGGGAAAAGCTCCACAGAGCTGCTGCGACACTTGGCGTAAGTCCCTCAGCCTCGCGGGCACAGTGCGCTGGTGCTCTCCCGGCCTTTATCTGGGAGGACCACCATGTGACCAAGTCCTGGTGGCCAATGTGAGCCAAGGGCAGTCAGCACAACCCCTAGTAGGAAGATGGGACCCCAGTCATGTCCTAGATATCTGGGCACATCTTTTCTCAGCCTCCTCCTTGCAGATGCCTGAGAGACCCACCCGGCTTTGTTTTTCCAGGTTCCCGCCCCTAGCTAGACATCCAGGAGACTGCTGGACTGTCTGTGAAAGGGAACGATTATGGATTCATAACCTAGGGGCATCTGAAAAAGCCACTTAATCCTAGCTTATTAGCTTAAAATTTTTATTAGCTTTTACAAAGAGATTCTGATTTTAGGGGTAACATCATGCTATTACAAAATATCTTGGAAACATGTAAAAGGACAATTAAGCACAAAACTTACCTATAATCCCACCACGGAGGGGGATAAGCCCTGATGACACTGTTGACAGTGCATGTCCCTCCATTCCTCGTTCCTTTAAGATAAACTTCTCGAACTAAAGGGTGCCTGAAAGGACACTTCCCAACTAAAGCAGCAACATTCATTGACTCATATTTGCCAGCACTCACTAGCCACAGGGTGCAGAGGTAGCTGAGACACTGAGGAAACCCTCTAGAACTCATGGGCTGGATGGGAAGATGGTTATGTGATCAAAGAGCTTTGGTAACAATCATGGAGCGTTTACCGTGCACCAGACTGTGCAGGGTGCTTGACATCCCCCTCCCCCAGCCCACAACCTCCTGGACGAGGAGTGCTCCTCCCACCCCCACGCATACAAAGCCCAGAGCGGGCAGTTAGCCTGCCCCGGTTACTGTGACTCCCGAGCACAGCTCTGCACCCTACTCTGGGCAGCCTCCAAGGCCAGCTGCAGTCCCCACACTGCCCACTGTAGGAGGAAGCCTTGCTCAGTAGTTACAGCGTAGGCCTTGGAGTCAGAAAGGCTGGCTTTGAGTCCCAGCTCTGCTGCTTACCAGCTGTGGACCTGTGAAAAGTTAGATGAAAGTTACATAAAAAACAACTCAAGCCTCAGTCTCTTTGTCAGTAAAATGGGGGGATAAGGAGGAGGCCACCTTTCTGCCTCAGAAGGTGAGTCTCAGCAGCACTGAGGTCTGCACAAATCACTGCACGAATGAGAGGCAGGCCTCAGCTTTCTCATCTGCAAAATAGGAGTCATAAAAGTCCTCCCTTGGAGTCACTGTGAGCATTCGCTGGCCAGTATATGTAGAATGCCCAGACCTGTGCCTGGCACGCAGTAAACACCTAGTAAACAGTAGCTGTTCTGGTTAGACCAAGTGCAGTGGGGGTCCAGACAGGGAGGGTTGATCCCCCCAGGAGCTGCCTTCCAGAGCAGGTGGTAGCTGAAGGGAGCTTAAGACCAGACTTCCCGCCAGCCTCAGGGACAAAGAGTTACCAGCCTCTCATGACAGCTTCTTCCATTTTGTAGTTTAGAGTCTTTCATGTGTTGTCCCAAAATGTACCTCAGGTCATCCTTGATCAACAGACTCTTAAAAGAGCCAGGGGAGCAGGGACAGAAACACAGGTTAAGTCAGGCATGTGAAGTCCTAGCTTACTCATTTTAGAAATTATGTGAGCCTCTCCTGTCCGACCGCTGGGCCGGGTGTGGGTGTCAGATAGCAGGTCCCAACAGTCACCATCACCCTCCGCACCATCCACACCATTCCATAGCTGCATAGCTACTTCATCTCACTGGGCCTTTGAATGAGCATGTGCAGAAGAGAGGCAGTGTGGCCGCTGTGGACACACTGCCAAGGTCACACACTTACAGTGGAGTAGAGCCCAACTGAACTTGGGTTGTGAGCTTTGCTCAGTGGAGCACATGTCTCTACAACTCTTCATCAGAGCCTGGTGGGTGCTTAGATCAGTGGGTTCCTGCCCCTGGCTAGATATTCAGGTCACCAGAAGGGGTGTCTGTTTGTTTCTAATATAGATCCTTGCCTCCTGATTCATTAGGTCTGGGTCGGGCCTAGAAATCTGTATTCTTCAACCCTTCTTGGGAATTCTGAGAACAAGGTTTAGGAGCCAGGGTTGGAATAGAAGTGTTGTAACCCCAAGAAGGGCTCTGTCCTCTCCACCTGTGACCACCCTGTTCTCTCTGGACTCTCCAGGCCTGGAGGAACCATGGTGACCTATGGGGGCATGGCCAAGCAGCCCGTCATTGCCTCTGTGGTAAGCTGGCGGGGGACACAGGCCTTGAGACAGGCCTGGATACCACAGCCGTCTAAGCTCAGGCAGAGCCCCGGCCCCGGGCAGTGGGGGGAGCCTGTACCTTCAGCAGTGCCTGAAGCTCTTGCCCTCCGAGCCCCGGTATGTCCTTCCTGTGTCCACAGGGCCTGCTCATTTTTAAGGACCTCAAACTCCGGGGCTTTTGGTTATCCCAGTGGAAGAAGGACCACAGTCCAGGTAAGTGGATGATGGCCCCATTGCCAACGGTCACGAGAGGGCAGTGCCTACTGCAGAAGCGATCAGTCACTTTGAGCCCTGGAGAGGTGATCAGGTCCCCAACCCCATGACAGGATAAAGGAGAACAGTCTCTAACTATGGCTACAGTCAGTGGATAGTTACTGGACTAAAGTGGGCTAGTCCTTGAGGGTACAGCATGGAGCAAGGTGGTCCCTGCCGCCATCCTGAGGAGCGGACAGTGGGAAACGCTGCGTGGAAGACAGCCAGGTGAAGAGAGCAAACTCTGGAACCAGCCTGCTTGGGCTCAAATCCTGCTTCCCCCGTTACTGTTGATGGGTTCTGCCAGCCGAGCTGTGGGACCTTGGGCAAGTGAGTTAACTTCTGTTATGACTGTTTGAACTATTGTGAGTCCTGTTTGACAGAAGAGGAAACTGAGGTTCAAAGTGGTTAAGTAGCTTCTCCCACATCACCCCCATCTAAAGAGTGTGCAGCCAGAATATAAACAGCCAGTCTTTCTGACTCTAGAACCCAAGCCAGGACACTTCTCCCCTGGAGAACTGGCTCCCAAGTATGACACCCCTCTAGGCTGCGATTGAAGAATGACATGGAGTCATCCCAGTGAGGGGAGGAAACCAGTGGTGTGAACGAGCGTTTCAGGCAGAAAAAATAGTATATTCAAAGGCCTGTCACAGAGAGTGGGGTGCTGGACAGATAGGCTGTGATCAGATTATGGAAGGCCTTAATAATCCTTTTTAAGGAGCTCAGACTCTATCTTAAAGGGAAACGGGAAGCCCCTGAAGTGTTTTTAGCAGGGGATATGATTTGATTTGAATGTTGAACGAATCCATGTCTATGACAAAGCACTTCTCAGCCAAGGCCTTCCCTTCTCATCCTCCTCTACCACAGAGGGTCCTTGGTGGGAGGTAGGCAGGCCCTAGGAGGGGATGCTGGAGGCCTCAGCGTGTGGGGTTCCAATGGAGTCCTGGGCTGTCAGGGAAAGCGCCTTTCCCTGAGCAAAGCTCATCTGTTCTACATCAGCTGGTGTGCCAGGCACCACCCACCAGCTTCCCTGCCTCAAAGGGACCCTGCCCTCCCACCATTCAGGATTCATGGTTCCACCCAGTCAGGTTCTGTGGGTCTGAGCCATCCAGCCATGACTCTGCCTGCCCGCCAGCTTCTGGGGCTGCTCCCATGCTTCTGTCCCCACCCCGGCCCTCACTGTCCTGAACACAGGCGGGGACCAGCCTGCCTCGACAGCCACCCTGTCCATGGCCAAGCGCTCCTCAGGGCTCAGTGCCAGCTCCTCCTGGCAGGAGAGGCCCAGGTGTCATCACCCCCGAGCCCTGCAGCTGCTCCCCCGGCTGACTTCCTCCACCCTCCCACAGACCAGTTCAAGGAGCTGATCCTCACGCTGTGCGACCTCATCCGCCGAGGCCAGCTCACGGCCCCTGCCTGCTCCCAGGTCCCACTGCAGGACTACCAGCGTGCCTTGGAGGCCTCCACGCAGCCCTTCGTGTCCTCAAAGCAGATTCTCACCATGTGATAAGCCCAGAGGAGCCGGAGCGAAGTGGGAGGGGAGATGGATGAGCAGGACTGATTCTGGGCCTCCCAGATGGGGCCCTCAGTCTTCCTAGGCTGCCTCTCTCCTCACTGTCACTTCTGACTGGGAGAACTGGGAGAACTCTCCCCACTCCAGCCTCCGGGCACCTAATAAAGTCTGAACTTCCTAAGAACAAACAAACAGACAAACCCTGATAGAAGTCATCCCTGTCAAGAAGGACCCTCACACTGCACCTGCACCTGCCACCGCCAGCACTAGGGAGCCCCGTGCCCACCCCCTGCCTGGCCTGAAAGCAAAGTCTGGCTGGGGCTGGCAGGTACAGAGGGCGGTAAGACACAGTCTCTGCCCTCCAGCCCTCCAAGCCCACCGCCGAGACTCTTCTAAAAAGGAAAGTTGGACTCATTCTCAGGTGGTCTGCAGCTCAGTCTGGGGCGGTGGGAGGATCAGCTCCACAGAGGAGTGAGTGTCAGGCTGAGAAACCAACTAAATGGGGTCTCAGGTGGCTGGACCGTCCTCATGGAACGTCCGTTCTAACGGGGGAGCTGGACGTTCACCGGTGGTTCTCAGCCTGAGGCCACTTCACCCCCAGGGGACATCGTGGCTGCCGTGACGGAGGGCGCGCTGCTCGTGTCAGGTGAGCAGAGATCAGCGATGTTGGTGCAGTGTCCCGCAGCGCACAGGACAGCCTCCCTCCACAGAGAATTATCCACCCAGTGTCCTCGGTGCCGCTGTCCATAAGCCCCACCTTAAACCACTGGCCCCACAATACTTATCACAGTGACTAGTGCGCTAAAGAAGATACGTGTGAGGCCCTGTCCTAGGCCTGGGCTCAGTGGGCTGTTTCTGAGGACAAGCTTGAAAAATGAGTAGCTTTATTCACACAAAGAGAAGAGCTCGCACCCTGTGGCTTTTTGGTGTTTGCTTCATGATTCACTCACCCAAAGCAAAGAACTAGAGCCTTTGGGATGTCTCCATCACCTGGCCCTCTGTCCCTGACCTCAAGATCCACCCTTGAGGGGACATCCTGAGGGCCTAGTGTGTGCCTGGGGCTAGGGCTGCCCGTGAGCAGCGAACCAAGGAGCTTGGCCTAGTGCAGTTTACTAATGAGGCCCTAATGTGGAGATGTTTGGTGTTTAGAGGGCAGTGGGGACACAGCAGCTCTGCCTGAGGGTTTAAGGAAGGCTTCCCAGAGAAAGTACGGTCACAGCCAATTTTTTTTTTAAGTTTTAAGCCATGATTATTGATGTAGAATTTACATTCAATAAAACTCACCCCAACATTTGACAAATGCAATCACCACCATAATCAAAGTGTAGAACAGCTCTTCAAAATTCCCCCAAGCCCTTTGCAACAAACTCTTCCTGATCCTTGGGAATGCATTGATCTGTTTTCTGTCAAAGGGGTCAAATTTAATCATTAGAATGATTATAGAAAAATGGTCACAGCCAGTCTTGAAGACCCAACGGGAGAAGGTGTACCAAGCAAAGCCAGCAGCACCTGTGAGAGTTTGGGGGCCCAAGAGATCCTGGCAGTCGGGGAACGCCAACAGGCCAGTATAGCTGCTGCTCAGGACGTGGGGGGAGTATGAAGACTGAGACGTGGGCAGAACAACAGGGTCAGGACTTACCCTCAAGTCGTGGGGAGGCACTGAGGGATTTTCAGCAGTGGAGTGATGTAGAAAACTGGCTCTGAAGGCCAGGGGATGCCCAGGTGGAGCTGCACACCAGCAGGCCTACGGGCCTGGCATAATCCTTTTGCCTTCCGGAGCAGCTTGTGTGTCCCCAGGAGAGAAGCACTTGGTTTCAGCCTGGGGCCCGGAAAGGTCTGCAGGTGCCCTCTGGGTAAGATTTGCCACCTGGTACACCTGGGCTCAGAATCAGCCCCAGCTCACCCAAGTCCCTCCCATTCTCTATCCTCGAGGTTAGTGGCATGGAAGATTTGGGCAGGTGGTCAATGTGGGCAAGTGCAAAAGTTCTGAGAGGGAGGGGAGGCTGCCCAGAGGCTACAGGAGGGACAGTTAAGATGAGGTTCTTCACAGAGGCTCCGCAAGGTTGGGCTCGGGCTGTGCTGAACCTGCGGCCACAGAGAAGGAACAGGCCCCTTGTATAGACTCAGAGGAGGCAGGGAGGCTCATCACACCACATCGCAGTTAGAGACCTCAGGGAGGGGTGTCCAGAGTGTCCTGAGAACAGTGCCTCTGGGGGCCTGGAGGAGACATCTGGGCTGGGCTTTGAAGGGGGATATTTTCTCAGACAGGGGAGGGAGACAAGCATTACAGATCCAGGGACCAGATTAAGTAAAGTTATAAAGAGGACATTTATGTCAATCTTTTCCTTTTCCCCAAATACCATTCTCTTCCTGAGAATTAAAATTGACAACTTGTGGGTGGGCTCATGGTAGGTGGGAATAAACAGTTTCCCAGTCTCCCTTGCAGCAGACAAGGTGTGTCCCATGTGATGTAAGCAGAGGTGGTAGGTGTCAGTTTCTTAGGAACCTATTTAATATGTAGCTGGCATCCATCCTGTACCTTTTTCTTCCCCTTCCACCTTCCTCCTGGCTGGGACACAGGATGATTCCTGGACTTTGCACAGCCATCTCTGACCATGTTGAGAACAGGACAACAACAAGATCAAAGGAGCCCAGGTCCCTGACACTCAGACACCCTGTCTGCCCACTCAGGACTTAAGAAATAAGTTTTACATGAGAAATACGCTTCCATGTTATTTAAACTCCTAGTATTTGGGCTTTCTCTGAGCCTAATCATAACTGATATATATGCTATGATATAATTTATATTGAAATCATGTCAATCAATCTGAAGCTGAAAAAGTGAATTGTGGCAGTTTGTGATTCCCAGCTAACTGTTGGCAGTTGGGAAAAAAGATTTCTGAGTCAGAAGATCAGAACTGTGCTTTAGAAAAATCCCTCTGGCAGCAGGTTGGAGGACAGTTTGGAGAAGGGTGGCCCTAAAGAAAGAGAGAAAATCAGAAATTCCCAGATAAGTAAATTCTCCCTGAAATTTGAAGACTAACATTTAATGAGGCCAGCAGAGGAAGGGAGACTGAGACAAAATGTCAGAAGAGAATCTGACTTAAAATGGATCATCTCTTCCCTACAAGCACAGGAGATTGTTTTTAATTTTCAGGCTGAATGATCTCTCTGTGGAGTTGGAACAGCTCTTCCACCACACTAAGTAAACAGTGTCCTTTTAAAATGGCTGAAGGAGGAACCTTTGGCTCCAGGAGACTAAAAGGAGGCAAATGGGCATTACCTCCTGAACCAAAGCTTGGGCACACCTGAAGCCCCGAGGCCTCATGACTAGCTCTCCCTGTTGTCTTCTGGGAGCATCCACCCTTCAACTGCCTACAGCCACTGCCATAATATTGATGACTGTCTGGTGTCTTGGGAGATGAGATAATTCAGCCTGTTTTCCCCAGGGAAAGACTGAGGCCCAGAAGAACAAGGTTCTTGCATTAACCTGTGTGTGCCAGGCATCTCTGTCCTGGTACCCGGAAGCTCTCAGCAGCTCCCACCCACCCCATGCTTATTGGCAGGTGCCATGCCCTGAGTAGGATATGGGGCCCAGCCAGGGCAGCTGGAGGAAGCAACAGAAGAAGAGAGACTCATTCCTGGCATGGCATCTGCCTGCATCTGAAGGCAGTAAAATCCTGGGAAGACAGCAGGACTGACTTGAAGGTAAGCTGGCACCCTCTAAGAGGGAAGAAAGCTTTCCCCATGTCCCTGCCCCTTTGCAGTGTACAGGTACTTTCACATGCATCTTCATTTGATTTTTACAACTTCCCTATGTCATTGAGACTGTAATATCACTGCTCAGAAGAGAAAGATGCTGAGAGAGGAAGCAAGCTGGCACCAGAAGCCAGGTCACCATGCCAGTCAATCCCAGTTCCTTTGGCCCCACAGTTGGCCTTGCGCGCCCTCTTTTCTCAGGACTCCTTGATTTTGTTCAGTGATAACTGACATGTCAATCAGAAGAGAGTTTAGATTTCCCTGAGTCCATGTCTCAAGGGGAGGCGTGAAAAAAAGGAGAAATGAGGAGGTCACTGAAGTAGTCCAGGTGAGAACTCATTCATTTATTCATTCAGTAAATAGTCTGAATGCCTGTTATGTGAAAAGCACCATTGTGGTGCTAGGGATACAGCAGGAGACAAAAAATGGCCCCTGATATCAGAGAGCTTATATTCTAGTGGAGGAGAAAGATAGCGAACAAGTAAATAAACAAGGTGATAACAGAGTATGGCAAGTGCTGTGAAAGAAAAAATACAGTGATATAGTGATGGGGGTACTTGAGAGAAGATGTGCAAGGAAGGTCTGAGTCCTGAATAAGAAATCAGCCGTGGTCCAGGAAGAGGGAGCAGCGTGTTTAAAGCCCTGATGTGTGAACAATACAACGAGGCCTGAACTAGCTTAGTGAGTGGGAGTGGAGAGAAGTGAATGGATTCGTGACTATTTAGAAGGAAGAATCAACAGGACAGACTGAATGTGGTGCTTGAAGGCTGAACTTTGGCACCCTGCTGGAAGGAGGGGCCACTCCCCTGAGACTCCAGGGGAGGAGCTGGTTTTGGAGACAGGGGCTCTCTTTCCCATTAGTACAACAGGTTGAGCGGAGTATGTAACAACCAAGGTTAGCCCTAGTTCTTAAGACTGATAGGATTCTCATGTTTTACTAAATACCAGAGTGATCAAAGATTACAACATAAAAATAAGTCCTAAAAGTAACAGAATAAACCATGGGAGGTTTGTTGTTTTTGCTTTAAGTTTTTTAAACCTCAGACTGTGGAAAGCCTTTCCAACTACAACACAGAATCCAGAATCAAAGAAAAATTAAGGACAGATAGACTTAACTCCATAAACATCTAATGTTTTTGCCTGGCAAAAAAAAAAAAGCACTCTAGGCAAAGTCAACAAACTGGGAAAAAATATTTGCAACTCATTTGACAAAGAGCTAATTTCCCTTACAGTGAGCTCCCATGAATCAATAAGAAAAATGGACAAAAAGAAAAAGATAAACAGACCAGAAAGGAAAATATACGTCTCTTAAATATATGAAATGGGACTCACTCCACTCAAGATAACTGCAAATTAAATTATCTCGACATACCATTTTTCAGCTATCAGATTGACAAAAATCATAAAGCTTGATAATGTGTTGATGTGGAGATGG